CTCTTGAAGTTGGTCAGATCGCTTATAAGTCAGTTTAGAGAATCACCAGTTGTAAAACGAAGTTGGTAAACCATTAACCAGACGCGGAAGAACACCAGTTGTGGTTACTAGGATAGTAATCAGTAATCAGTAGTCCCCTGTCTTCAAGTCTAGTAATTGTTGATGAGATGCACGCAAAATTCGTTGCAATGAAGAGCAAGCTTTCCTTTATTCCTTCAGTTTCAAGTAAGATCTTGCTTTCCTGAATGCTCTGAGCCTCCTCAGGGTCGAATGTCGCAATAACAGCTTCAATGACGTCGAAGTTTTTCCCATAGTACGTTGCAGCATCGATCCAGCTTCCCCATCTTGTCACCACAGGTGAAGGAGGAAGTGGTGTACTTGGAGCGATTTCTGAAAATCTCGCAGTTCGAGAAGGTGCCTTGAGAAAGATTTTCTTGACGTTGGCTATCAGTTGATTTACATCTGGGTATTTTGACCTAACCAGTTCTGCTACACGATGCAGACCATGGGCCACACAGGTCACATGGATCATTTTTGGATACAATACTTGCAGTCCATTCATTGCTTTGCACATGTAAGGTGCAGCATCAGTGCACACCAAAAGAACATTTTCATACTCTAACTTCGTTGGCCACAACAATTGCAGAGAATCGTTGAAGAAACCAGCAACAGTGGAGTGGTTGACTTTAGATAGTACACCAACATTCACTAGGTAGTATTTGCCTCGCTCTGTTTCATCTCCCAACACACCAAAAATAAGATTCACAATACACCGTTGCTCAACATCAGTGGTTTCATCGAGTGACACCCATATTTTCTTTCCACAAGCCTTTCTCCTTATGATTTCCATCGTGTCCTTGAACAATTGTGAAACATAGTTCTTACGTAATGTTGATTCGTCAGGCACCTTTTTTCCAGTATACTGTTCCAGGAATGACTTTAGGCACTTGTTATTCAGTTTATGCAATGGAATGCAGATGAATATTTTACCAAAATATGCATTTATATGCAGTTATCTAGGTAATATGCACTTATCATAGAAATCACGCAAAATATGCATTTGCATATGAAATATGCAAATGCATAACTATCCGGGCCCTAGTAATCACACTAATCTTCCATCATTAAATATTTAAGGACATCAACTCTTACGGTGACTTATAACCAGACACTTGTGATAATTGGTTATTTAAAGGAACTCCAAGACCGTAGTCAGGCCTGGAAGTGAGGGGGGATTAAGTTTGTTTTCTGTACACGGCACAGTAACAAAATTACACGTCGCCATTTCCATGATAAATGCAACAAAAGGGGGAGGGGAAGAAAAAGGGAAAACGAAGAAAGAGAACAACAATAATATCTACAAAAAAGAGACAAAATAAAAAGTTAAGGAAAAGAAAAAAGGGTAGAAAAGGAAAATAATATAAAGTAAGAAGGAAAATAAAGAGGTGCGAGTGTATCATGTTTATCAGCGTGAAACAGAAAGACAATTTGATAATTTACACTTAATATCATACACGCTGTCAAGCCTTGTACGATAACAACTTAACTAACTTGGTCCATTACACTCAGGGAGTTAACATACGGAGAGTAGAATGACCTGTCACATTACGTAATACAGAAAAAACCAAATGATCTACCTGTCTTACTAACAGGAAACGTCTTGTGGAGAAGAAATAATTATCATAGGCCTCACCTGGCCAGTATAATGTTATTATCCTAATCCAGTTTTAGAAATATGAGACAACTACAGGTCTTAGAGGACTCGAACCTGTGACCTAGCCGTACTGTACACAGTCGAGGTTGTTTACCAGCTGAGTTACGAACACACTGAAGCTGACCGAGTAATGATCTTCGTGAGCCGAGTTTGACCAACACTCCGTCCAAACCCTCATGTCCACGACTTAGGTTTACTGGTACGGTACAGTACAGTACAGTACTCAATCACATCCTCAGTAACACACCACCTTTTATATAATATTGTCGCCACATGGGAATTACTTCTATACATGTACTTCAACCTGTACTTACACTATTGTTCTGAACAAACACCCATAATCTGTGCCATTAGCTACTCACTGTACAAACATGTGTATTCATTAACGCGCGTATATACACTTAAGTACATGTATGCTCTCTCTCTCTCTCGTAAAGATTGTTGACATAAAAGTTAGAGGCGTGTAGCCGGCTTACACCCAGGCTGAGGGTCTCCCCGGCGTGGCAGCACTTGAGAGCAGCTTATCAAACTCTTAGTTTATTACTGTCAAAACTTTTAATTAAATTTTTACACCTCTCTGATATGTGAAGGTGTCTCCTGCCGGAGCACCTCTAAGGTTCCAACGTCGTTCATTTCCCCTAAATACATAAAGAATACAGATATTAGAACGGATATAAGTGACTCATTTAAGCTGCGACTCGCAAACTGTTTGTTATACGTCACCTGTGGTCTGTAGACGTGAGGATATATGGAGGGGGATCCTTCAGACACACAAAAGCAGCTGTCAAGATAGTGTTGCAATTGAACTGAGGCGTTACTGCTATTATCAGGGAGAGTTACAGGCAATAAAATCATATGAAGAACTGACCATAGAGACATGGCTTCTCGTCCGGGTCATCACTAGTCACCTAACTACCTGGAGCCTCGACCATCACAACCCTTAAGATAACTATTTGTGTTTACTCAGTATTTGTTGAGTTATTCTTTGGTATTTACTTACTAATTTTGGTTTTATTGATTTTATAGCACAGTGTACAATTTCCCGAGTAGACTGTACAGTATCAGTGTTATGGTGGCAGTTGTACTGTTCTTCTATGTAACCAAACCTGATTTTCAGAATTCTTTAGATATAATTTTTTACTTTTCTGTTCATAGAGTTTATAGACTCACCTAGACCTGGAATATATCCGTTTTAGTACTGGATTTCCTTCTGTTCCTTCTGCTTGCCAACTTGGTGATCTTGAAGCTGTGACCTCTTGTGTTTGTGGTGGCTAACATCTTGAAGAAGTAATCTGGGTTTATATCTTTCATCCCTTTCAGTATTTTGAACGTCTATGACGTCCACCTTGTTGTGTCTTGTCTTAAGTGCAGGACACTTCACTCTTATTATGAAGACTTCCAGCATTTGTGTTCCAACAATTTATATTCAGGTGTCTAGTGTTGTCATACTAGAAGGTTGTGAGCCTTGAGGGTAACTAGAATTATTCTCCTTTGTCCTTAGAGGTTGTGCTTCTTGTGTACTGTATTACTGAAAGCTAAAACAGGCACATTATTTACAGGTTTTTTAACTGATGAACGGACTGAAAGCCTACTTATCCTTAACTTCGTCCTCTATACTGATTACTAGACTTTTTATTTTTGTAAAGGATAAATTAGTCTTTCAGTCCTTCCATCAATAAGTGCATGGCAGCTGTAGTTAGGCGACCAGTGGCCAAGAAGGTAGATAAGGAAGTAAAATAGCGGCGCAGCGTAAGTCTCTCAGTGTGTCCTTCAATTATTTGTCGTTTTCTTTGGTTAACGAATTTTCCGGAAAAGAGGGGGGGGGGGGACATAGACATTTTATTTATCATTTAACAGTACTATATTCTCCTACTTGCTTGCTTAATATTTGTTCCTTCCATAATATTATCCTTCTGTGGTCGATTTAGGTTATAATGATTCTCACTAGCTATTGCTACTCTTTTATCCACACTTATGATGCGTATCTCGTACACAAAGTTAATCACTTCCCAGCATACCTTTAACTTTGCAGTATTTTTTATTCTCCTGCCTTCCTTTGTAGATGAGAGATAAAGTAAACCGCCGGCTTCAGCTGTTCTTTTAAGATTCTTTGTGATAAATTTATTCTTGTGTCTGTCATATTTTAGTTTTCTTTCGTCATGAAGATTTTTGGTTTCGTTTTGGATAAATATAACCGCAATTAGCATAAATGGCGGTACTGAGTTCACTAATATGTGTACTTAATTAAGAAATTATCTACGTGTGTGTGTGTGTGTGTGTGAGACTTAAACGGGAGTTTATTGGTAGTAGGTAGCTACCAAACAGGAAGGTACTACCTCCTGGAAAGATATTGGAAGCAGAATGTGTTGTCTAATGGTAGACCCTGCTGTCATATGGCACCACAAAAGTTGTGACCAAGTCCCAAGTTGCTGATCTGACTTTCTGCCTCATTTACACACAATTGTAGGGTCCCAATTGTTTCTCTTACTTTGACAACACAACATACATATATCATTTCTCGCTATAATTATTATTATAATTACTACTACTACTTTTATTAGTTTTTGTTAGTATCATTAATATTTTCTTTTATTGTAATTTTTATTTATTATTATTTATTTTATTATTATTATTATTATTATTATTATTATTATTATTATTATTATTATTATTATTATTATTATTATTATTATCGCCGTCCAGGCCTTGATGTGGGTCATTATAACATGACCTGTGCCCAGGTGGACACAGGTCGGGGTGAGGGTGACAAGGCCTAGGTTCGAGGAAGAGTGATGGCGACACCTCTAGCCTGAGCACGACCAAGGCCGTGACACAACCCTCCACCTCCACCCTTGTATATCTAGCAGCTGGAGGCGTCAGTGGGAGCAGCTGGACTCTTACTCGGGTGTAACACTGCTTCTCTGTTGACAGATATCCTTATCGGTGGACATTATGTTTGAAATAAAATATATGCAGTGTGTGTGTGTGTGTGTAGGGAAGATCGTCACCTAACAAAGCGGGATGTATTTGGAAGATATAACTAAATACAACTAAATTTGATCCTTATTGCATATAATACTTGTGAAAAGAAGCCTTCATTAGTGGCAGTCAATGTGTGTCATACTAAGATTTTCTAAGGAGTACTGTAACTCTTTGAGATGCAGGAAGAACAACTGTCTGGCGCCACTCTGCCTGGCCGGGGGGTGAGTGTTGCCTTCCCACTGTCTATTACTATATCCTCCACCATGCCTCTCACCTCCTGCCTGGGTTGGCTAAAATCCACTCAGTTCAGTTGTCAGTACTCGCTGTGGCAGCGTGGTGAACGGGTGGCTGACCGCACCGCACTTTTCCGCGTTGGCTTACTACCATGTGACTGCTGCGCTTAACCCCTTCGTGTTTGATAAGTCATTTGTACCTTAAAAAAATGTGAGTTTTACATGCAATGAGACAAAAAGTGCCTCATATAATACAATAATTAAAGCAAGAAGTACAGGACAGTACTGTAGTGGGTAAATATGCCAGACACTCTTCTCGTGAAGGCTGTAAACCAGTGGCAGAAACTGTCTTAAGAACTGCATGAAGCCTGGCTGAAGTGACACTCCCTATCAGGATGGTCGCTCTAACAAGATATAAAATTTTCATCGGCCTGTGAGTAGATACATTAGTGTTAAAGTTTGAAGATTAGTCTTAAGTCTGATAGTGTAGCTGCCTTGTATACTGCGGGTAGTAATTACTCCTTTCCTTGTACTAACTTATTCTATATGTTTGTTCGTATCACTTAAATAAAATGTATACATTTGTTATATCTATATATAAATTTGTGTAATCATTTCAATGGACGATTAAACACGAACTTAAGTTATATAAAAGTTATATAATTGCTAATATACACGTTAGTCATATAGAAAACACGCAAAAGGAATCGATCGTAAAATTAGTTGTATTTTTCTGGTCAGTGGAGGACGTAATTAGTTTGGCGAATAATAGTGATATTTGCTGTTTACCTTTGTGTGTAAACCCGCATTGTATAGGCCCTGTATGGGCCAGTCGGCCTCCTGCAGTATCCCACTTTCTTATGAAACCATTCCTCCTCGGTCTATGTATGCACTACAGTAACTACGCCGTATACCTACGTTGTCTATATACGTGCTGAACCAGTTGTATACTTGTATGATGATTTTACTGAATATTTATCCATCTACGTGTGGAGTTGTTGCTGATAAACGACTCGACAGCAGTAGAGTACAACTCAGTCATTGTGGAGATACAAGTACAATAGCCACGACCACCACAACACATACAGTACTCGCCATCACTGCTGTACTAGTTCACTGCCGACCACTGTTGTATCTATAATGTATTAATATGCCGCAATAGCTAAGGGTTTTATACACAGAACTGTATATATATATATATATATATATATATATATATATATATATATATATATATATATATATAAGAACATAAGAATGGAGGAAACTGCAGCGGGCCTATTGGCCCATATTGGGCAGTCCCGTTTACACCCAACCCCTATTGCTCATATAAGCTATTCAGCATATTCGAGTTAATGATGATATTTGGTAACTTGTTCCATTCATCCACTACTCTGTTTCCAAACCAGTGTTTACCTATTTCACGCCTAAATCTAAATTTGTCTAATTTAAAAACCATTGTTACGAGTTCGCTCCTGGTTGGATAGTTTGAGTACCTTTGTAATGTCCCCTCTGTTTAGCCCTGCCTTCCACTTACACACCTCTATCAGGTCGCCCCTCGCTCTACGTCTCTCAAGGGAGTGCAAATTAAGATGCTTTAACCTGTCTCTATACTCAAGGTTCCTAATGCCCGGGATTAGTCTTGTCATTCTCCTCTGAATTCTTTCCAAGGATTCTATATCCATTCTGTAATACGGTGACCAGAACTGAACTGCGTAATCCAGGTGTGGTCTCACAAGAGCAAGATACAATTTTAGGATGACCTCGCTAGTCTTGTAACTAACACTCCTTTGTGTGAACCCAAGTACTTTATTAGCCTTGTTACGAGCAAAAACACATTGTTTGCTTGGCTTAAGGTTCCTACTTATCATTACTCCTAAATCTCTCTCGCAGTCGTATTTCTCTATGGCATCGTTGTTCGTCTGGTATCTGGTTTCCCTGTTTACATCTCCTATACTGAGTACTTTACATTTGTCCACTTTGAATTTCATCTGCCATTTTCAGACCATTCGAAAAATTTGTTTAGATCTTCCTGTAGTTTTGCGGAGTCCTCGTCAGATTTAATAACACGTCCTATTTTAGTGTCATCAGCAAATTTGCTTATGTTGCTCTCTATGCCGATATCTATGTCGTTTATGTATATAATAAATAATAATGGTCCAAGGGAAGACGAATACAAACGTTAAGTATAAACTAGGTAACACGGAAATAGAAAACTCAGTTTGTGAAAAAGATCTAGGTGTATTTGTTAGCAACGACTTGAAACCTAGAAAACAATGTATTAGCGTTCGCAACAAGGCAAACAGGATTCTTGGGTTCATATCTACGTCTGTGAGTAACAGAACTGCTAACGTTATCTTGAAACTTTACCTAGCGTTAGTGAGGCCACACATGGATTATGCGGTTCAGTTCTGGTGTCCTTATTATAGAATGGACATAGATTCTTTGGAGAGAGTACAAAGAAGAATGACAAAAATGATCCATAATATTAAAAACCTTCCATATGAAGAAAGACTGAAAAGCTTAGGCTTACATTCATTAGAGAGGCGTAGAGTTAGGGGAGATATGATAGAGGTGTACAAGTGGGTAAGTGGGATTAACAAGGGTAAAATGGAAGATGTTCTGAAGCTCAGTAATAACGAAATAACTAGAACAAATGGCTTTAAATTAGATAAATTCCGATTCAGAAAGGATATAGGCAAGCACTGGTTTGGTAATAGAGTTGTGGATATGTGGAATAGGCTACCGAGTGCTATAGTAGGATCGGGGACGCTAGGGAGCTTCAAGACGAAGTTGGATAGGCACATGGAAGTGCTGGGATGGGTGTGAAAGGGATCTGCCCTGCATGGGCCAGTCGGCCTCCTGCAGTATCCCACTTTCTTATGTTCTTATGTTCTTATGTTCTTATGTACTGAGCCTTGGGGAACTCCACTTGTGACGTTGCTCCAATGGGACTTAATGCCATTAATGCTCACTCACTGTTTCCTGTCCTGTAACCACGCCCTAATCCATTTAAGGATATTACCTTTGATGCCATGTGCTTCTACCTCAGGACTTCCTAGACGCAGTACAGGACAATTTTTTGAAACAACTAATTACAGAACCTACTAGAGGTGACAATATATTAGACCTAGTATTAACAAATAAAGAAAATATTATCAGAGATATCACAGTAGGGGAAGAACTAGGGAACAGTGATCACAGAGAAATCAGGTTCACCCTAAATTGGGAAACGAAAAACAATGACAATATGGTCAGAGTCCCAAACTTTCGGTTGGCGGATTATCAGGGGTTAAGAAGGTACCTAGGTGAGGTCACCTGGGACCAGTCACGTCAGTTCCCATTAGGAAGGGGTAACATAAGAACATAAGAAAATAAGGAGTCTGCAATAGGCCGGTTGGCCTGTGCATGGCAGCTCCTGTCGAGAGTTATTACCACTCTCTATCATCCATGAATCTATCTAGCCTCCTTTTGAAACTTTCCAGAGTTCCCGCACTTACTACAAAGTTGCTAAGCTTGTTCCACTCGTCCACCACCCTATTTGTGAACCAGTTTCTTCCTATCTCCCTCCTAAACCTAAACTTATCCAACTTGAATCCGTTGCTCCGAGTCCTATCCTGCTCGGATATTATAAGAACTTTATCTATATCCCCTTTATTGATTCCTTTCACCCACTTAAATACTTCTATCATATCTCCCCGCACTCTTCGTCTTTCTAGGGAATGCAAGTTAAGTTTCTTTAACCTATCCTGATATGGAAGGTTTCTAAGTCCCGGAATCATTTTTGTCATTCTTCGCTGCACCGACTCTAGTGAATTTATATCCGTTCTATAATAGGGGCACCAGAACTGAACCGCATAATCGAGGTGCGGCCTAACTAGCGCAAGATATAGTTGCAATAAGACCTCTGCACTCTTGTTACTTACACTTCTAGATATAAAACCCAATACTCTGTTTGCCTTATTTCGAACATTAACGCACTGTTTTCTAGGCCGTAGGTCCGGGCTTACAAGTACCTAGGTCTCTTTCACAAGTCGACTTCTCTAGGTTGATGTATAATGTATCCTTGACGAAGAGTGCGACCCCTCCCCCCTTCCTACCTTCCCTGTCCTTATGAAAAAGTGGGTGAAAGGAATCAATAAAGGTGATATAGATAAAGTTCTTATAATATCCGAGCAGGATAGGACTCGGAGCAACGGATTCAAGTTGGATAAGTTTAGGTTTAGGAGGGAGATAGGAAGAAACTGGTTCACAAATAGGGTGGTGGACGAGTGGAACAAGCTTAGCAACTTTGTAGTAAGTGCGGGAACTCTGGAAAGTTTTAAAAGGAGGCTAGATAGATTCATGGATGATAGAGTGGTAGTAACTCTCGACACGAGCTGCCATGCACAGGCCAACCGGCCTATTGCAGACTCCTTATTTTCTTATGTTCTTATGACCTACCCTGACCTGACCTCACGGCTTCACCTGACCTAACCTGAAGGATGGAGCACACCTGCATAGCCCCAAGCTACTGTCCTGGCCACGTGGCCACACACCTGCCCAACCGCATCCAGCCCATACGACCACGAACTGATTGCTACAAGAACAGCCCAATCCCAACCATTGTAAAAATTATCAACACCTAATTATTATGTATCATATTTGTATCACTTATGTCACCTGTATATTATTTGTCAATCAAGAGACCCATTCCCCAATTTTGTAATTGTATATTTTCAGCTTTCCGGCTGCCATGCTCTTTCAATAAACCGTTAATTATTATTATTATTATTATTATTACACACACACACACACACACGCTATGTTCATGCAGTTTACATTTTCACTTCACATACTCTAAACACACAATAATAGCTAAGAAAAAAAAATTCTGTATGATAAAAAGCTTGTATATTTAGGTATGGTTAAAGTAATAAACACAGTGGTATAACAAGTTTGGCGCCAGTTTTTGTGTGAGTTTTGTGGTCGTGTGGGTGTGATGACGGGTGAGAGGGTGGGCCCAAGTCGTCTCCTGACTGGAAATAAAGGAATCAAGTATAGGATATTGGCAGGTGTTTTCAGGTTATAAGAACTCGATAGCAACTGGATATCCAAACTATAGGTAGGGTTATGATAGCCCGTGTAAGAGGTGACTGTATGGTTCATTTTCGTATTAGTTTAGTTCAGAAGCGTGGCGGTGGTGAAGCTCTCCACTCCGGGTGTTTCGGCTGCTGCTGGAATTGATATTATCTGATCGACTTGTTTTTTAATCAATATTTTCGCTTTTTCTTTACCATAGATGGATCCTCAGTCCGGTTAAACTTGGTTAGGACTAGGCGGGACCTGCACAGCGTGTTTCCTTCCTCGTACCTCGCTCTCTATGTAGGGCTGTAGGTCCTGACACTGACAGTCAGCCGCCGCCTCCTACACCTGCAACACTTGACTTAAACA